AAGGTATACGTTTTTCCAGTACCAGACTGACCAAAAGTAATAACTGATACATCGCAGCCTTCGAAAAAGTAATTAATTAGGGGTGAGACAGTCGAACTAAAAAGGGCGTTTTGAGAACAGTCCAATGGAAGAGCATAATTAACTGGATAAGTTTGATTGTTTCCAAATTGAACTGTATTGTTGTAGACATTTGGTTGGATACATATTATTTCGTTATCGTAACGCAAAGGGCACACTCTTATCGCAGTTTCTATATTAATTTCCATATTTTTAAAAACTATTTTAAAATTGTTTATCAAACATTTGGAATAGAAATCACTGCTGTCAATAATATTATCTATGGTTAATAATCGATATAGCCAACTCAATCTAATCTAATACAAGTAAGATGCGTTCATATATAATGAACAAAATATTTACAAAACATACTAAATCATTTTATTGCTTTTTTTTACAAATGCCATGGAACAATATTAGATTACACACTGAGATTGAAAAAAACAATTACTATGTTACCATACTGTTTAATGCGAATTTAAATTAAAAGTAATTTTTAACAAAGAAACATTTATTCACATTTTCATTCACTACAGTTTAATTCATTTAAGCCAATTTTACTGGTTTTACAAAGCTTTTCTTTCTCTTCTGCTTCTTCTGTGCAATTTCAAGTTGATTTAATTCTGATTCAATTTCAGAAAATATTTGATACTGTTCTTCAACTGGAATCGTTTTCCTGAAAATACAAAATTATTAAAGAATGTTTTAAATTAAGGCAAATGTTAATACATATTCAATCATTAACATACATGTACTGTTTCATTAAATCATATTGAGATGTAGTGTCTGCAAGTTCAGCAGCTCTTTTGTAAAATTTCTCAGGTAGTTCTAAGTCTTGGACACCTTTTAAATTTTTCCTTTCCCATCTCTCCAACCAAGGTCTTGGTTTTAATTTTACTTTAATTGGATTTATTGGTATTTCACTTCCTAAAGCACACATACTGTAAGTTATTATGGAAAGACTGAATTAAAAAGTGTTACTAATGTAGAAAAGATATAAATTTTTGGTGATGAAACTATGATACATTTCTTCTATACAATGAAAGGAAAAAAATTCCTAAACATTTTAATGAGAATTCTACATATACGTTAATTAATTACTCTTAATAAAGAGTGAAGTACTCAAACTGTATGTAGTGCTCTCTCTATACATTTGAAGCATTTAAAAGCTCTTTTCTTCATTGTATAGTATTATATTAATATACCTTCAGGTAATACTTCAGCTTCCATATTTATATCAAAAGTGCTGTATTCTGGTAGAGCATCCCTCAAGTAGAGTAATTCATCATCTAGTCGTTTTTCCAATTTCAAGACATCTATTCTTTGTATTGTGGGATCATAAATATCAAACAGAATCTCAATACCCTTTAAAGAAATTAGATTAGAAACAAGTAAAATAATGTCAAAACAGTAATGTACTATTACCTGTGAATCTATAATATTTCTGAGGATAAAATTGGCTCTAAGACCACAACCTTCTCTTTTAATACAAATACCCACAAAACAATTTAGCTTTTCTGGGTTGTGCTTATCAGAATATGTTACTGACAGTATTGAACCTAAACAAGGGATATTGTATTAATAATTTTATGATAACTCCACACTAATAGGTGATTTTTTTACCAACGTAAAATTCCGGTATATGAACATTGCGTCTTCTGTTTAACATGTCCATGCGTTCTATTATTTCTCTAAGGGGATTTCTAAATTCTATTTTAGGATCAGGTAAAAATTCTGGATAAATTCGCGAAAACTTTAATTGAGATGGTTTTGTTTTATTAGATGCCAGCCTATTAGTTACTTGTAGGGCTTCCGCAGTTTGAGAGTTGCATCTGAAACCTGCAACAAATTGTTGAACTTTCAAAATAACAGTATAATAATATTTTTAGAACCTTTCAGAGACGTAGAAATAATTTTTTTTCGGCTAGACGAAAACATACTACTTGCTTTTTAAAATCTAAGAAAATACATACAAATTAAAAAATGAGATAACTTAAAGGTTATGTCGTTATGTTGTGTATTTATAATGTATGTATACTTTAAGATTTCTCAATTTTCTCCTTGTATACTTATACACAGATGGCACCACGAAATCAATTCCATTTTATTTTTGAAATTATAATGCTACTGTTCGCCAGATGTCAGCTTATTAATTATTTCTGAATGTTTAATGTAGTAATCTAACGGTAGGTGGCCATATATGAACCAATTTAAAGTATTTAGTTGTGTTATGATTGTTTTTAACTTTTTAACAATACATTTTGTAAAAACGTGTTATAATAACAAAAATTCGCCATTAAAAGTATTATTCGCTAAAGTTTATTGAATTATCCGTGCTCGGTTCGCGGATTTTGTTTATAAAGCTATTAATAGTTTAAATTATAAACAATAATGTTCTCCATATGAAGTAGAAGTACTGAAGCGATTCGAATTTTGAAATATACTCCCGTTGATAGCTTTCAATGCAGGCAGTCTTCGGTTAAGATGTGAGTAACTCATTTAAACTATATTTTTGACTAATAAAAAGTTCTGTTTTTTTTACTGATTTACGTTTACGCAGGGGCGTAGCTAGGTAATTAAAGGTCCAGGTGCAAAATATTTTTGGGGCTTCATTCAAACAAAAAAATTACTCCATTACATTGGTTAACATTGTTTTTATTTTGCAATTATGCAAATAGTACCTACATTACGATGCATTATACAGAACAGAAAATTTCTGTTACATCCTGTATAACGTAGCAAGGATGTAAAGCGAAGGAGCGTTATTCATGTAGCGCCGGCCATGAAAGTCTAACTCTTTTCATAAAAGTTAGAGCTAGTATAAAAATAGGTGATTAAAAACTATAAATATAAATTGTATTAAACAAAGAATAGTGCTATTGGTTAATTTGGAAATTCGAAAGAGATTATTAAAAGTACATAATACTTATTATTGGTTCTACTACACTTATTTGTAATGTACTTACAAATACAGTGTAAACTCTATATAACGACACTTAAGGGACTGAACATTTTTCGGCGTTATAAAGAGTGGTCGTTAAATGGAGAGAAATAAAAGATATTATTTTACTATTCTATAATAATATGCATTTACCAATATAGTACACATTTTGCACACGAACATTATTATTCATACATTGCGTATAGCCTGTTATCTTCGT